GGAAAGACGCATAGACGTTGCTGTTATTGTTTGTGTCACAAGACTCGCTGCATTGTATAACTGTCCCCAGCCATAGTGCCTTACATATTTGAGGTTGTTAATGTTACTACTTATATATGACTATATACATGAATATTAATGTACTGGACTGCAGCACTTGAAATTCCAATCAGTCGATGCATCCTATGTGTGAGTATATATATATGCACATGTGTATATGTCCATGCATAGCCTGCATTGATGTGATGTATCGCGGATAGCGGTGCTTATTATTTGGAGTCGGTGTATATTTCACTGTGTAGTGAGTTACTTTTTCTGTTATTTCAAGAAGAACAGCATGCTTTGCTGTTGCGAATGCTTACTGTTTCATTAAAAATGTTTTTGTTTTGTTTTTCGTTCTCCCTATCCCGAATGAACTAGTGTACAAAGTGCAAGTACTGAGTATTGCTTAACATTTGATAATCACTTTCTATTTAGTGAAACTCTTACTACAAACAGTATTTGTACTGTTTGATGAAACTGCAATACAATCTAAATAGTCGTTGATTATTTTTTTTTTTTCGTCTTCGTATTTTCATTTAGTGTGTTTTCACTTTGTTTCTTAGCTGTTTAGAAGTGTGGTGGGCATGGCTTTGATTAGGTAAGGAAAAAATGCAAATTAATTCACGGTATGGAATCTTCTAAGCCTGAGCAAACCATGCAGTATTTGATATACACACATATATGGACATATATTATAGAGCTAGACTATTTAGTACAGATGCTTGATAAGGTGTGAGTTAATTGTGTGCAATTCTCTCATTTATGCATGTGTGACAAAGTTAACTTTTTCCCTTTACATTATACCATTTGTTAAAGGCTTAAGGCTTATCGGTGTCGACTGCTTATTTTATACATTCCGTCAGGGAGGAGATATATATATATATATATATATATATATATATATATATATATATATATGCGCGCTGTGTGTGCATTTTTCTGTTAATTTTTTTTGTCTTTGATTTTTCAATGAAGTTGCTTGTGCAGCACCAAAGACTGTAATTCATTTCCTGAGCAAGGTAGCTATTCTGTTTGCATAGACCTCAGTTATACTGTAGTTGTAGAATGGGGTTAAATTAAAACAAACAAAAAAAAATTGTATTAAAAAAAAATGGCTGAGATTTTGTCTAGCTTATTGGGCAATTAATAAGTCGTATCATTTCTTCTTGAATGTATCATAGATAAGCTGCTATATGATGATTGCCACTTCAATAGCTGTGAAATTAGGTGATTTCTCTGAGTTTAAACCTAGCGTTGCTATTTTTGTATAGGTCCCTAATTATCTGAAATAGAAGTGGTTTTGATTTTTGTGTTTTGCGTTCATATTTGGAGTGTCTTTGTAACTACTGTATTGCTGATGATGAACATTAGTTGCATTTGTTGTTTCTCGGGGTGTGTGTGTGTGTGTGTGTGTGTGTGTGTGTGTTTTTGCATCAGTATTTTATCCTTATTAACCTTTCGGGCTCATCACTGCATATAAATGATGTATCGATGTAACTTAATTTTTGTATGTTTTCATATTGACGTTTTGTACACATCTAAAGCTGTAGCTTGCAGGAATGATTTAACTTTTTCATTGTACGGTATACTACCAGTACTCTTTGATGTGTTACAGGGGCACTGTGAGCTGCCAGAATAAGAAAAAAATCTGTTGTGTTCATTTTAAAAGCGTCTGTAATGTTTCCACCGATCACACACAAACACACTCGGCACTAAGCATTCATACAGGTAGTCAGGCTTGTAAGGGTTTGGGTGATTAGACTGTGTGTCCAAAAATAAACTTTATATGCCCAATTTTTCCGTTCCAAAATAATGTTTTACAGCTTGTTTTACTGTTAAATTGATTTGAACAAATATTTATTTAAACCTTTTAACTGTTCAATGTTCTATCAGGCTGGAATATCAGTTTCACAGTTTGATATTCTAAACTGCCTCGTGTTCAGATCGCTCTCCCCTTTATGAGTGTCTCATATCAAAACGATGTTTTGTCAATGCAAAACTGTGGCCATTGTTACGTGTTCCTTACAGAAATTGAGACAGTGTGAGCAGCACTGCGTATGTGCCTTGAGATTCAGAAAGTGAGAGTTCAAGGTGGTGATTTCATCACCGCTTATATGGGGATGAAGGCATAGAATCCAGGAACAGTCCATTACCGTATAGAGTAGACAGCCACATGACCAGGAATTTAAAAACCCCCCACAAAATAGTACTTCATCACAGTGTCGCACCAGGGACCTGTACTCCTCTGATCAGCTTGTAGACATGAAAGAGGACTTGTAAATGGTGGAGGTTCTCTTGTTTTCGAATTGCCACCACCAAAACCTCTCTGTGATAACACACCAATGAAACTTACACTTTGAATGGTATGAAACTCAACAATCTTTGGATAGTCACTCTGGCTGAACAGCAGATGCAATACTTAACATTGTGCGGTCATTGCACCACCAAGTGTTCTTAGAATATCTCTGTTTTGCATTACCTTGCATGTACACCTAAGTTGCTTCACTTTGTCTGCCTAGAAATTGTCAGCTCAGAGCAGCTTTTCCATCGTGCATGTTAAAGCTGAGTGGGAGTAACCAGAACACAGTTGACAACACTGGCCTTTAACATCCGAGCGAGTCATGCTTTATATCCAGTACTAGTCTATCTGGATGTTTATTCTGTGTTCTGGATGGAAAACCGCTCCTTCAAGGAGATTGTTGTGGTCTCCCTGCACGGTCAGTCATGAGTGTAATGCTCCACATTTTAACACTGATAAGGCTGTATGTATTTTGATAGCTTTCTTTTCTTTACCTGTATGCTTTACTGGTCATACTCGAGTATCACTTTGGAAAGCTTATGTCGACAAGGCAAGCACTTGGCAGATTAGTGCTTGAAATAGTCCCCCCCCCCCCCCAGTAATAAGCATGTGAAATGTAAATCTGTGTTTTGATTCCTCCAAAGGTATTCACCAGCAATGCGCCTGCATACTCTCCCATACTTGTTAGGAAAAGAATGGATGCAAGAGGAGAGAAATCTTAAAACTGTTTTTAATTTTCCACACAATCGACACCTTGGTTTATGAGTAACTTTTTTTTTTTGAGGATTCATGTAACATTTAACAGACAAAACAGTCATTTGTAAAATTACTACTATTAAAGTTATGACTTTAATATCAGAAAAAAAATCCTCTGCTGCGGTATTATCCTTTAGAGATGTTAATTCAGGGTTTGTATTAGGCTAAATGTGCTACTGTGTTATCCTTTTGATTTGATGAAGTTTGTTTTACTCAAGCTCTTATTTTCAGTTTCCTGGTCATCTGTATCAATTTCAGAGTTAATTCACACTGCAAGTTATGGAATCATCTGTTTAGATTGCTCATCAAATAGACTTGATTATGAAATCTGAACTGTTACTGTTTTTAATACCTGTAGATTTTTTGTGGCTTTGTTTTTCTTGGTTTTGTTTTTTTGTTTCAGTTGCTTTTTTAATTGTGTGCTACACTAGTTTGCCATGTAGCAATTGCACTGTGCAATATTTACAGTATGAGGACTGGGAAAACTAACTCTGTGGATGTGATGTCTATTTACAGTTTGCGATAGTGTTTCCTCTCTAGTTCTCAGTGATTTAGGTGTGACCAAGCCTTCTCTACTTTGTCACATTAAGCGGGTTTTCCAGGTGACTCTTTTGGTGAGTGTCAAAATAAGACTTTATGGTGTATTATTGTTAAGATTCACTTTGAATTAAAAAAAACTCTATTGATGCAGCGCTGTTTGTCTCAGTCTGTTTTTTTTAAACCATCATTTTGGTCATTCAGTTGCTTTTCTTGCATTGAACACATACATGGACAACAAGTCCAACTGATAATATTACAATGTGCGCTTTTTTTTTTTTTTTTTTTAAGTTATTGATAAACTTTTGATTGTTTTGTCTTTAAAATATTATGAAATGCTGTGGAGGGAGGGAGGAGTGCCACAACTTTATGTCTGACCAGGTGTTTAGAAAGATTAAAAGATGTTACATTTCAAATGCTTCAGAGTAAAAGCAGCAAATCCTCACATTTGAGAAACTGGAACCAGAGAATGTGTGGTATTTTTGTCTGATAAAATATTTAAAGGATTCATTTCATTTTGTTAGTCAAATAATGGATTAATGGACTGGGCAAGCATAAACACAAAGTCCTTAAAGGTCACAGAAAAACATTTGGAACATTTCATGGCGCAATTCCATTATAACTGTGCAAACTCCATGTGCTGATAAAGACCATGTGAAATGATGGAAAGCTCCACAACAGCTACTAATATTGTGGTGATATTGTTTCATCAAATAAGTAATATCATTGTTCCCTCCAGACTACATAGAAAAACAAAACAAATAAACAAAATTTTGTCCGTATTGTTTTTAATGTCATAAACAATACAACAAAATTATTTTCAAAAAGGTCCTTTGTGGTGAATTCTTGTGACATGGGGTTTGTGTGACTTAACAGTGTGACTGTAACCCTTATAATGCAAACCCCAGGGGCCTCAGTCTCGTCTCATCTGTAGTTTTCATTCAGTGTTTTACTGGGTTTGGGCTGACATCTTGTGGAGGTACGGAGGTACTGCAGTCGTCCTTGTTTCTACACAATCAGATATTCAGGTAGCAATTACTGCAGCCCTCGGGGCAGAATGTACAAACCTGTTAGTGGAGGTAAAGAACATTTAAAAAGCCACTTAAATATTAATCCACCGTATGCGTGAACAAGGTTAAATTTGACTCGGCTTTATATTAGGAGTTCTGTGTGGTGTCATTCACCCAGCAGAGGTCGTCCGACAGACTGCTCGCCTTGACTTTCTCCCGACAATTAACACAGAAGCTAATTTGACCAGGGGGGTGTAAGACTTTTAAATTATCCACCCATCGGCTTCCGTATCCTTACGTTTGTTGCTAAACGTCACCCGAGCACACCCCGAATGCCTGTCATCCATCTCGAGCAGATTGCCGCCAACAGCTAAATGTCAGACCTTTGGCAAAGTGTGCGCGCCGCCCTGCGCCACACGGCGATGATGGGTGGACCCGAGCGGAGCGGAGCGATAGGGCGCATTCCTTAATTTCCCTTCAACGCCGCTTCTCCCCCCAACCACTCTCCCCCCACCACTCTCTCCAGCCCTGGACACACGACGAGACCGCGGGACCGCTGTGTTTCCCGTTCACACACGAGGATTGATCCGATGTATTATTTACGACCGAAACTTCTGCAACTTATCCACTGGATATGGCTCCCGGTTTGAGGAGTGGGCGGACAGGTCACCCCAAATTGGTGGGAGCGGACCCCGGCGGATGCTCGCCGCGAAGGACGGACGCCGGAGGAGAGGGGAGGTCTTTGAGGACCAGGTGGCGAGCCGGAGCAGCGGGGATGTTTGCAAACCGGCTGCTGTCTGCGGGGACGCTTTTACTTCTTGTCCGGTGCGCTATGGCAGCAGAGGGTGAGCACACACCGCCGAGACGCATGATGTGTTGCACTAACCTCTGTCACATCAAGGCTACACTGCGACTCATCATCCATAGTGGAGAGTTAGAACACGTTGCTTGGGAAATGGGTCTTTTGTTTCACGCTGGCGGCCGTTTGTAATCCGCACATTTCTTTCATGATGATGCTCAGGCTGCACGGATGGAGCCGTGATCGGTTGAGTAGTTAGCTGTGTCGTTTTTATGGAAGGTAAAAAAACGCATCTATCAGTGATATTTGCATAATGCTGTGGCACGTGAGGGGGGGGGTCATTGCATTGCATTGCATTGCATTGCATTGCATTGCATTGCATTGCATTGGAATTTGCGCAGTCAGGGAATATGCCCATTCAGGATTAATTGCCTCACTGACCGCTCTGAGATGATATGTTGTGTGAGAGGTGGTGTTGATGCCGGACATCGCTTTATATGATGTAACTCTCTCTCTCACCTACTGATCTTTCCACCTGAGCCTGGAGCCAGACCACTCTTTTGTCTCTCTGATCAGATTGCTGCTGCACAGACCTTCAACCTCCTGTCTTGCCTCTGCAGCTGGACTCATTATGAGCTCCCTCAGCCTCAACTTTGTCTCCCATTGCCAACTTCATTTCCCCTTTGTTCTACAAAAAAAAGGCATTTCATGTTTGTTTACATTCCCATGACAGGTTATTAAACGTTATCATTGTCTGTGATGAGCTTAAGGGATTTACTCTGGCAATGCAGCGCAGTCACAGGACAGTCATTGTTTCGGAGCATCTGGGTCAGCACTGATGACACACATACTGTAGCCCACCTCAGGTCTGTTGGTCTCTGGCGGCATGAGGGGCATTTGGGGTAAGGCTGGCTGACTTAGCTGCGCTTGAAGAGAAGGCTTGACTGCAAAAGACAGTTAGTGTCTGCATGTGCACTGATTTTCCTCCCATGTGACTGTTTACTCCATCCTCAGTACCGATGGCTTCAAGGCACTCTGGTTTGACCACAAATGGAAACCGAAAGCAAGATGTTTGCTATTTGCAAACGTTGAGTGTGTGCATCTAACAGCAGCTCCATCACGTCTCTCCAGTCTGCGGACTGTGATGTGGTGGCTGTAGTCTCGCCTCTGCTGATGCACTGCTACAGTAGCAGAGTCTCCTCCTCCCACTCTCCCTCCCTCCCACCTCCACCTTCTCACAGTCAGCACATCCATTCTTAAACACAGGAGCCCAGCAGCATCTAAGCTAAACAGTGCATACTTGGTGAAAGAGGCTAATCAGTACTTTTAGTATTCACCTATGTCAAGAAACTGTGTGCTCGGACTGTAGTCTTTTGTGTTGAGTAATGAGACCTGGTTTGAGAGTGACTTGGATTCTGTGGTCTTTTACACTGGTTGAGTGTTTACAATAATCTGCATGCTGCCTTTTAGTAGTGTTACAGGTTTGCTCCCTGGGTTTCCTTTTTGGCTGAATAATTAATCGAAATCACAATATGGAGGAGGTGTAATATTTGTTAAAGGCAAAATGTGTCAAACTACCATTTTAAAATTAAAAATTGTTGTGCTGCAGAGATGTCCTGTCCTACACGCCATATCTATAGACTTAAGAAAACATATTTGTTTGGTAAAGAACTTGGAAAAATCATACCATAATCATTTGAATATGTTTTTCAATGAAAATGAGAATAATAATGTAAAAAAGATCATTCCCTCCCATTCTTGCGAAATATTTCGCAATTGCAACATCAGTCAAAATGATCAGATATTTTGTGGTAAAATGGTTACAGTCACAGTGTATCTTTTATTGGAAAATTGTCATGTAACTCAGTAGATTACAGGGGGAGGAGCATCTCTTGTCACTATTCTCTAGATTTGTAATATATCTTTTGATTGTCAGGCAGCAACAACATCCAGGACGGATCATTTTGCAGAGTGCCACAGATTCAAAAAGACATAGGATTTACATAACAGAGATGTCCTATCCTGTCTCTCTCGTAGCTGCCATGAAGTTTCTATGATTCTCGCCCCCCCAAAATCTCCTCATTAAAGAGCCAACTCAACATATAACCTTCAAACAACCAAAAGAAATCAGGATTCTTTTATTGCATGTACACGGGGCGGTGAAACACAAAATGAGATACATCCTCAGCGACACAGAGATCACAAAGAACGCACACAAAAAAAACACAGCACCTCCATGGACGCCTTTATATTCAAGGTACCAGTTCTTGACTGAGCACACAGGGACCTCTGCCTTCTCTGTGAATTAAATGTCATAAATGGTTCATAGATCTTCTTTCTTTTTGCTGTGCATTGGCTTATTCAAAATCTCCTCCTTCCATTGTTCCTTACAGATCTGTAATGGGAGAGGGATGCACCGTGTTCCAATGCGTGTGGTCGGTACTGGCGCAGATACTGACCTTATTAGGTGGATCAGGTGTCGGCCATGATTACCAACATTAAATGCTGTTTCTTTGTCAATGCCATTTTAAAATTCTGTGTTTCCTCCATCATATACATTCATTCAATGACGGCGGGCAGTGAGCTATACAGATTTTAAATTTGGGGAGAAAAAACAGAGCAGTGGTATTGGATTGATAATCATGATTGCCAGATATTGGAATCAGTAATGGGAGAGAAAAAGTGGGATTCATGTATCCCTATAATTCAATAACACTAATACTATTGTTACTATTACTATTAAAATGCCTGTCAATGTCTTGCTGGCTGCTCCTGCACTGTGGCTGAACCACTTAACACTATAGCTAAACCGATAAATGAGCCAGGGCCATATGTCGCCCGATATTAGCTTATTGGTATCCGTGTGTAAGTTGGCAGATAAGTACGTTTTGAGAGAATTTAGTGTCACCATTACAGATTTTGTCCACCAGAGAGCTACAAGAACAAGGTGATTGTTCTCGATCGATCAGATTTTTTCAACTGTAAAAGGTCCTGCTTAGGGCTGCAGCTAACGATGAAAGATTCATCAATGCGTCGTTTAAGAAGTAGCCTACGTTTGCTTGACTATCGCCCAATAGATCTTTACCATATTTTTAATGCATCGATATCGTTACCTCAAAAATTCAGTATTAGTCGGGCTGCACTGCAGCGCGTGTGTGTGTGGGACTGACTTATGCTACCTTCGGGGACACATTTCCGGCTAAAGACAAGTTGATTGGGGATGGCTCATCCAATTGGGGGACAAAAGTTGTGTCCCCAGTTGGAAAAAAAAAGAAAGATGTTTTTTAGGCCACTGGTTAGGGTTAGGGTAAGTCTCCAGGGAATGAAGTAATAAGTTTAAGTAATGTCCCTAGAAGTGACGTAAGTGTATGCGTGCGTGTGATTTACTGAATGAAATATATCCTCAATTGCTGTGAGATGATAATATCCTGACTCACCGCTTCTTCCTGCGTGGAATCAGTACAACATGTGGTTTCTATGGAAACGCCAATCTTTGCCCAACCATAACCATTACCCCCTTTAAACCTATCAACAGTCAGCAGAGCAGGGGCCGGTGCAGGGCACAGCATATGGCGTGGGTATCCTGAGTAATGTGGCTGCAAAGATTAAGCTTCTTCTTGCAGTTAGATTAGGCTTTAATTAACTGGCAGCATCTCTCGTCTGGTTTATTGCTTTCTTATTAACACAGCTGGTGAAATTGTGCCCGGCAGCGGTTCGAGGACACACAGAAGAGCAAGCTAAGCAAAGGCATCTTTGGTCCAGCCACGATCAAATGACTTTCCCCTGATGTCAGCTCAGTTTACTCCTACTACCACAACCTGCCCGTTGCTTATGAGTGCTGACAGCTTGGTTTTGACAGGGGTTAACCTCGTAGGCCTCTTGCCGTATGAGATGCTATCCCTGAGCTGTTGCCAGTCATCACTTTCTGCTAAGGAATTCACTGAAAGGAAACACGACAGTACGATTCAAAGCCATTTCCTATTTGCAATACAGTCTCGGTCTTTTACCCATTAAATGAGTGTTAACATGCATCAGTTGACTAGGGATCCACACATCACAACATCCTCTATGGTTTGTGGCTTTTCTTGTTTTGTGTGGTTCAATCTTTTGCAGTGTTCTTTCCCTATGTCTACATTAGCCTTTTTCCCCCCCAAGGCTGTCACGATGGTTAATGTTAAAATCTTCCAGCAATTGGTGTTTAAAAAACAGCAGTGACTCACGCCCCTTGGTCTGATGACTGGTCTGCATGAGCTCTGGGCTTTCAGGAGCACAGAGTACCTGCTGTCGCTGCTTATTTCCCTTGTTTCACCTCATTGCAGTGATTTACTGTATAACAGTTAATTATGTTGTGGGGAAGCATGTCAGAAGGGCTCAAGATATATGTGCGTGCACGGCCAAGATAGATGGTTTCTCCTCAGATGGAGCTTCAGCTGTGCCTCTGTGAGTCTTCCATTTGATTCACACTCTGTGGTGATGCAAACATTTGTCTTTGTGAACAGAAAAGTCAAATGTCAATTTACACAACCAGAAAACACACAAAAAGCGTTGTTTGTGTTCTACTCACACTATTCCATCTTTTTTCTTTTGCAAGTTATGCCGACGTTTTGACAGGGAGACTGTGTGAGTTCTGTTCAGCATTATGCAACGACTGGAGGGCCAGAAATGAAGATGCCAAAAGGGCAGAAACACGAGTGTTATGAAGTAATTAAAAATATATTAGTGCTGGCAATCATTCTGAGAGTACAAGAACATTCATAGTTATCCATCGCCGCTATAATATACTCACAGGACTCTTTTTCTCTGTCAGATCTCAAAGAAAGTCAAAAGGGTTCGCAGTCTTTTCTCCTCCAGCGCTGTAAGCGAAGCAGGCAGCACTTCTACAACACAAAGATGTAATGATAAGAACGGCAAACAGCCTTCTAATTAGTATCTTGGACCATCTGCCTCGCATTATCCCTTGTATCGTTCAGCGCAATCAGGGAATATTTTGTTTGTGTGGTGTGTGTGTGTGTTTGTGTAGTGTGTATGCGTGTTTGTGTGATGAGC